CAGAGACTAGAGGGCTGGTGGGGGGGTGGAATGGGGCGGGGGGAGTCCCTCAGCCTGGCCTGCACCCTCTCTAATCTGGGACCCCTTGGATATCCCTCCCCCTCACAATCCAGGACTGCTGGCTCCTAACCGCTCGCCTGCCTGCCTGATCACCCCAACCTCTCTGCCTGCCTGCATGACCTCCCCTAATCCCTCTGCCTGATTGCCCCTATCTGCCTGCCTGCCTGATCATCCCTAACTGCCTCTGCCTGTCAGCCTGATTTCCCCTACCTTGCCCCCATGCTGACCTGATTGCCCCTAACTTGCCCCCCTGCCAGCCTGATCTCCCCTAACTTGCTCCCCTGCTGGCCTGATGGCCCCTAACCGTCTCTGCCTTGGTCCCCAGCCTAAGTCACAGTCTGGCCTCCCTCTGTAGGAGGCAACCTGGCAGATCAGGGGAAGGCACTGCCCCCATCACCCCACTGCTGCTGCCACTGCCAGCCTGAGCCTGCTGCACCGTTGTCCTAATTAGCATATTATCCTTTTATTATTACAGAAATCACGTGGCCATGCAGATGGTTGCAATGGGTTCCTGACATGAAAACAGGGAAATGGCACAGCAACAGCCATTAGCAGGCCCAGTGGGAACCGAGAGTGAGCCAGGCTCCCGGCTCCGGCTCCGTCACCCTCGTTGGCGCTGGTCTCCGCACACCAGCTTCCTCCCTTGCCCTTGGCTCCTGCCATGCAGTGCCCACAGGACTGACCCGTCTGTACCATGTTCACGGTTGTGGCGGGGAGGTGGCAGGAGGGGCACATGGGCACATTTTTGCTCAGATGGTGGTTGGCACAGCTGCTGGGCACACGTGGGAACTGAGGGGCCCCGAAGGCCAGGAAGTGCAGGCCGTTGGGTTACAGTCAGAGGAGCGGAAGCTGAGAAAGGCCAGTGAGGGGGTGAGGAGCGCACACGCCCGGAAGACAAGCAGAGGCTGGGGTTGGTGAGCCACTCCGCACCTCTGCTTCTTCTCCTGTCAGAAGGAGGAGAGATTACCTCGCAGGACTGCCATCTGAAATGAAATGATCTATGTATCAAGCTTAGCCTGTAGCAAACACTCATTCAAATGTGGCTGTTCTCAATGGAATGCTAAGCTGCGGTAAAAAAGAAGGAATTCTTACCTTTTGCAACAGCATGGATGGAGCTGGAGAGCATTATGCTAAGTGAAATAAGCCGTTCAGAGAAAGATACATATCACATGGTCTCACTCATTTGTGGAATATAATGAACAACATAAACTGATCAACAAAAACAGATCCAGAGACAGAGAAGCATCGATCAGACTGTCAAACCACAGAGGGAAGGCAGGGGAGGGTAGGGGAAGGGGGAGAGAGCAACCAAAGGACCTTTACGTACGCATATAAGCCTAACCAATGGACACAGACATCAGGGGAGCGAGGACATGAGTGGGGGTAGATGGGGGTAAATGGCGGGGTAAGGACAGATATGTAACACCTTAATCAATATAGAAAAAAACTTAGAAAACGTGGTTGTACTAAAACCAAAAGAAACCCATACAATTTGATGAATTGCAGTAGCACTAGACATGCGCACATCACCCAGATAACATCCCTGAACCACATCGGTCAGTGGTATTTGCTGTCTCTCTCGATGGGGCCCATCTGTGGGTCTGGTTGCCAGCAGCTGTGCTGTAGGGCCACGTAGAAAGGCGATCATACAGTGTGTAGTCATTTTAAAAAAATCTTTATTGTTGAAATTGCTACATACCGTGTTTCCCTGAAAATAAGACATCCTCCGAAAATAAGACCTAGCGCATGGAAAGATAAGACATCCCCTGAATATAAGACCTAGCGCAACTTTGGGAGAAAAAATTAATATAAGACACTGTCTTATTTTCGGGGAAACAGGGTAGGTCCTCCTCTCCCCCCACTAACCTCTTCCAGCTGCTCCCCTCCCCCCACCCCCCAGGCGCTCACCACCCCATTGTCTGTGTCCATGAGCCATGCCCACATGCACACACGCTCATTGGCTGACCTCCTCCCCCCTCCCCTTCTCTCTGAGGTCCCACAGTCTGTTCCACATCTCTGGGTCTATTTTGTCTGTCAGTTTATTTGGTTCATTAGGTTCCACAGATGAGTGAGATCATGTGATACACTTCTCCTCCCTGACTGGCTTATTTCGTTTAGCATGACAGCATGTATTCTCCTGTGTCAAGTTTCTCTGCTCAACAGAATGCTTTTGTTTGTTCCCCTTTGGTGCTGAGTAGCCTTCTGCTGAAGAAATAAATGCATTGTATGATAGTTCACTTCTCCACTGCACTGCTGGGTAATTTCTAGCTTTGATCTATTATGATCCAGCCGCTGTGCACTTTCTTGCAGTCTTCATGCAAACATTAAAAAAAGATTCTTTTGGGTAAACACCTAGGAGTGGAATTGCTGAGTCATACGTTTAGCTTTAATAGACACTGCCAAGTTTTCCAAAGTTATCGAACTGTTTCCACTCCCACCAGCAATGGAAGAAAATCCAGCTGTTCTATATCCTCAGCAACATCTGGGTTGTCAGTCTTTTGAATTTTAGTCATTCTAGTGGGCATGTAGGGAAATCTCATTGTAGCTTTAGTTGCACATCCCTCATGGCTGATGTTGATCACATCTTCATGTGCTTAATGGTTACTTAATATATTCTTGCTCTGGCCACGGTTGTTAAGTGGTTAGAGCGTCACCCTGACCAGGTATGTGCCCTTGACTGGAACTGAACCTGGGACCCTTCAATCTGCAGGCCGACGCTCTATCCACTGAGCCAAACTGCCTAGGGCGAAAGTTCGGACTTTAAAAGGTAAAAAGGATATATAATAAGAAAAGTTTACTCCTCTTGCATGTTTTCTTTTTAAAAAAAAATAGATATATTTTATTGATTTTGTACAGAGAGGAAGAGAGAGGGATAGAGAGTTAGAAACATTGATGAGAGAGAATCATCGATCAGCTGCCTCTTGCACACCCCCTACTGGGGATATGCCTGCATCCAGGTACATGCCCTTGCCCGGAATCGAACCTGGGACCTTTCAGTCCACAGGCCAACGCTCTATCCACTGAGCCAAACTGGTCCCAGCTCCTCTTGCATGTTTTCAAAAATTTGGCAGCTACATTTGTGACTCTTATATTATACTAGAGGCCCAGTGCACGAAATTTGTGCGAGAGTAGGCCTTCCTTCCCCCAGCACCCGGCACCCAGCTTTCCCTTGCAGAGGTAGGCCCCGCCCATCCCCTGTGGCCCGCTGGTTGGTGGCCTGGGCCTCACTCTTTGGGGTGATCATGGGGTGATGGCTGGGCCCCTGACCAATCACATTGCACCTGCCTTGACTGGCCTGGTGCCTGTGGTGGTAAGCGTGGTCCCGGATGGTCACCCGGATGGTCATTCCGCTGTTTGGCTGTTTGGTCGACAAGCAAATTGGTTGTATCTTCTGTGTCTTAATCCCATGAATTCCTTGACAAAGAGTATTATTATTATTATTTTTTTAATATCCTCAGGTGAGAGTTTTTTTTTATTTTTTTATTTTTATTGATTTTTCACAGAGAGGAAGAGAGAGGGATAGAGAGTTAGAAACATCGATGAGAGAGAATCATCAATCAGCTGCCTCCTGCACAACCCCTACTGGGGATGTGCCTTTGACCGGAATGGAACCCGGGACCTTTCAGTCCGCAGGCTGAAGCTCTATCCACTGAGCCAAACCGGTTTTGGCAAGAGTATTAAAAAAAAAAAAAAAAAAATGACACCCTGCAGCAGGAATCATTATGGTGGAGGGCCTCAATGCCACTGAATCCTGCAGACATTGACTGAGCCATACTGTGCCCTGGACCAGAAACATGAGTCCCAGGGGTGAGCGTGCACTCCTGTCAGTCCGGGAGGAGAGAGAATAGCATGGAGGACGCTTAAAGAAACCTGATCCCTTCTGCTTGACCCAGTTGGAGGCCTCGACTGAAAAAGTTCTGTCTGGGTCCAGCTGACACCTGGACTTTAGGTTACATTCTTGGCCTCATCTGTGCAACAGGGTATCTCTCCAGTCAGCAGCTGCCCTGTCACAGCCAAGCTCAGCTCAGGGTCCAAGAACTTAACCCTGAGCTTGGTGTCCAGTTCACAGTTCTTAGGGACAGGGAAAAACCAAGTCAAGCTTCTGCAACAAGAATATTGAAGTACTTGCCGAGACCGGTTTGGCTCAATGGATAGAGCGTTGGCTTGGGGACTGAAGGGTCCCGGGTTCGATTCCGGTCAAGGGCATGTACCTTGGTTGCGGGCACATCCCCAGTGGGAGGTGTGCAAGAGGCAGCTGATCGATGTTTCTAACTCTCTATCTCTCTCCCTTCCTCTCTGTACAAAATCAATTTTATTTATTTATATATATATATATATATATATATATATATATATATATATATATATATATATATATATATAAAGAATATTGAAGTACTGGCTGGTGTGTATCAGTGGTTGAGCATTGGCCCATGAACCGAAGATCATGGTTTGATTCCTGGTCAGGGCACAGGCCTGGGTTGTGGCCTCAATCCCCAGTGGTCAGTGTGCAGGAGGCAGCTGATCCATGATTCTCTCTCATCAGGGATGTTTCTCTCCCTCTCCCTCTCCCTTCCTCTCTGACATCAATCCTATATAATAAAAGCCTAATATGTAAATTACCCCCTCAATTGGGGGGCGTGGAGCTGGCCAATTTCCCAAGTTTCCTCCTCCGCTCCCCTCCCCCATCGGCCAGACTCCACCTGTGCATGAATTCCTGCACTGAGCCTCTAGTATATTAAAAATAATAATAATTGGGCCGAAAAGGAGTGGGAAACCCTGTCTAGGGCCTGGGAGGCTGAGAGACCATTTGGACCATCCAGGAGGGGTGAGGACTTGGTGGCGGGCTGCCTCCTGCCACGCAGACAGGTAGGATTTCACCTCCGGTTGACGATCACTCCTTCTTCTGTCTTTTTTCTCCTTCCGCCCCTCTCCCCCAGCGCTGATGCTGAGCCGGGCGGGCGCCTGGGCCCCAGAGGCCTGTGCACGGGGCTGCCCGGCCGCCTGCTCCTGCGGCCCGGGACCCGGGGAGCGCGGCTGCTGGGTGCGCTGCGACCGCGCCGGCCTGCTGCGGGTGCCGCCCGAGTTCCCGTGCGCGGCCACCTCCATCGACCTGGACCGCAACGGCCTGCGGCTGCTGGGCGAGCGCGCCTTCGGGACGCTGCCCGCGCTGCGCCGCCTGTCGCTGCGCCACAACAACCTGACCTTCATCACGCCCGGCGCCTTCCGCGGCCTGGGCCGCCTGGCCGAGCTGCGCCTGGCGCATAACGGGGCGCTGCGCTACCTGCACGCGCGCACCTTCGCCGCGCTGGGCCGCCTGCGCCGCCTGGACCTGGCGGCCTGCCGGCTGCTGGCGCTGCCCGAGCGCCTGCTGGCCGGCCTGCCCGGCCTGCGCGAGCTGGCGGCGGCCGCCAACCTGTTCCGCCGCGTGCCCGGCGCCCTGCGCGGCCTGGCCAACCTGACGCACGCGCGCCTGGAGCACGGCCGCGTGGAGGCGGTGGCCGCGGGCTCGCTGCGCGGCCTGGGCCGCCTGCGCGCGCTCAGCCTGCAGGCCAACCGCGTGCGCGCCGTGCACGCCGGCGCCTTCCGCGACTGCGCGGCGCTGGAGCACCTGCTGCTCGGCGACAACCGCCTGGCCGCGCTGCCCGCCGGCGCCTTCCGCGGCCTGGGCCGCCTGCGCGCCCTGCACCTGGGCGGCAACGCGCTGGGCCGCGTGGCGCGCGCCTGGTTCGCCGACCTGGCCGAGCTGGAGCTGCTCTACCTGGACCGCAACGCCATCGCCTTCGTGGAGGACGGCGCCTTCCAGAACCTGTCGGGCCTCCTGGCCCTGCACCTCAACGGCAACCGCCTCACGGCGCTCGCCTGGGCCGCCTTCCAGCCCGGCTTCTTCCTGGGCCGCCTCTTCCTCTTCCGCAACCCGTGGCGCTGCGACTGCGGCCTGCGCTGGCTGCGCGACTGGATGGACAGCTCCGGCCACGCGGCCGAGGTGCCCTGCGCGTCCCCGGGCTCCGTGGCCGGCCTGGACCTCAGCCGCGTGGCCTTCGGGCGCGCCCCCGACGGCCTGTGCGTGGACCCCGAGGAGTTAAATGGCAGCGCGTCCAGCCCGGGCCCATCCCCGGAGCCCGCGGCCACCACCGCGAGCCGGCTCAGCAGCCTCCTCTCCAGGCTGCTGGCCCCCAGGGCCCCGGCGGGGGAGGCGGCCAACGCCACCGCGGGGCCTGGCAATGCCTCGCTGGCCCTCCCCTCGGGGGCGCTGGGGGGTTCAGGCCACAGCACCCCGTTTCTCTTGGGCGCCGGCGTCCTGCTCAGCGCGGCCCGGCACGTGCTGTTTGTCCTCCAGGCACACTGACCTGCCTCTCCGCGGCCCACACTGCCTGGCCGGTGGTGGGTCATCACTTAATTGGGCCTGAAGGTGTTCGTGGTCGAGGACAGGGGAACAGGAGGGAGAAGTTTGCCTCCAGAGATGGCCCCCGGGAGAAGACAACCCTGGAAAGGGCACCTGGGATTTGGGGAGGGCATGGGTTTCTGTTCATGTCACGTGGGCATTGATTGGCAAAGAAGAGCAAGAATGAACATGGGCCCTCACCAGTTTGGCTCAGTGGATAGAGGTCGGCCTGTGGACTGAAGGGTCCCGGGTTCAATTCCGCTCAAGGGCATGTACCCAGGTTGTGGGCACATCCCTAGTAGGAATTGTGCAGGAGGCAGCTGATCGGTGATTCTCTCTCATCGATGTTTCTAACTCTCTATCCCTCTCTCTTCCTCTCTGTAAAAAAGTCAATAAAATATATTTAAAAAAGAAAAAGAAAAAAGAATGCACATGGACCCTTCCACCTAAAGGCTAGGAATTGGAAGCTTGCAGGGTCCTGAGGCTCCACCTCCTTCCTTCCCCAATCCCTCCTCTTCCAAGAAACGGACTGAGTTAGAGCCAGCCCCTGGCTAAGCATTAAGAACGGTGCCAGTTCCAGTGGGGCAACCCATGAGGCCCAGTCCCTGTGTTTCCTGCCACAAGCCTCTCCCCTCTGGGCCTGGGGATGCCAGGGTCCAGAAGATGGACAGGACAGGAGAGAAGGGGGGTGGGAGGAGGACTGAGACCCAGGGGGTGGTGGTTCCTGGAGTTGGACATGTGTTAGGAGGCGGTGAAAGCAAAGGGCCAGCGCTAGATCGCCTAGCTCCCTTGGTTGGGTTGGTTGGGGGTCCTCCCTGCACTGAAGCATTTTGGGATTTATCCCTGTAGGGGGTGTGCAGGATGCAGCTGATAGATGTCTTGATCTCACATCAATGGATCTCTCTCCTCTCCCGTCCCCTCCCGTCCCCTCCTCTCCCTTCTTCCTCCTTCTCTTTCTCTCCCTTCATCTCTGAAAAGAGAGAGAATCACTGATCGGCTGCCTCCTGCACGCCCCCCACTGGGGATGGAGCCTGCAACCCGGGCCTGTGCCCTGACCAGGAATCGAACCGTGACCTCCTGGTTCATGGGTTGAGGCTCAGCCACTGAGCCACACGAGCTAGCTGGAGTGTCCATTCTTCACGGTGAAGTACTTTGGGCCTCCAGGTCATGTTACATGTTAGCAATGCCGTGGACAGCACCGGTGGGGGGAGGGGGGTGGGCGTGTACAGACAGGTGCGACCCTTGTGCTCCTCACCCCAATTGAATGGCTCATACCAACATTTCAAAACCAAGACGGAACGCCAAGTCACAGAGCATCACGTGTCTGTTATAAGAAGTAGTTTTGGTTTGTGAGCCTTTTTGTTAAATTTGTATGCGTTTGTTCAGATTATGTATGTTTGTGTCTGGAGTGCTTAACACAATCTATGTTTATTGTGAGCTAGCATTAAACAAGTTTGAAAGTCACGAATCTGGAGCATGCGTGATTAAAAAACCCCTCTCATCTGGAGTAATCTCAAACCCACAGAAAAGCAGCAAGAAAAGTGGAATGTATACTTTGGCCTAGGCTTTCCAGTTGATAGTATTTTACTATATTTTCTTTCCCTTCCTCTCTCCATGTTATTATTTCTTTTAAAAAATACTTTTATTGATTTCAGAGAAGGAGGGGGAGAGAGAGAGAAACATCAATAATAAGAGAGAATCATGGATCAGCTGCCTCCTGCACACCCCACACTGGGGACTGAGCCGGCAACCCAAGCATGTGCCCTTGATCCAAAAAGAACCTGGGACCCTTCAGTTCAACAGGCTGATGCTCTGTCCACTGAGCCAAACCAGTCAGGGCAGGACTATTATTATTTTTTTTACTAACACTTTGAGTTAGTTGCAAACATCACGATCCTTGATCCCTAAATATCTCAGATGTATTGCCTGAGTCAAGGACATTTTCTCATCCACAATACCATTATATCAAAACCAGGAACTGTCATCAATACAATACTATTATTTAAACTATACTATATATTGAAACCTCAACAGTGGTCTAAAAGATGAAAAAAATACATTTGTATTGATTTCAAAGAGGAAGGGAGAGGGAGAAAGAGAGAGAAACATTCATGATGAGAGAATCATGGACTGGCTGCCTCCTGCACGCCCGCTACTGGGATGGAGCCCACAATCCAGGCCTGTGCCCTGACCGGGAATCGAACCACGACCTCCTGGTTCCTAGGTTGATGCACTCTGGGCATGCAGGATGATTTTTGAAACAGCCATTTCTTTTCCTGTGGGTGGAAAACAGGTTCCTAGCGTGTGGCTTGTGTCCATTTGATTGCAATGCTTCAAAATTGTCAGTCCCTCGGTTGATTTGAATGTTCCCAAATGCAACCATTTCCCAAATGGCTTACTTTCCAAATGTGAGACCCAGATGAGGTCAGAATTGTTTGTTCAAACCGTGTGTGGTGGCCATGGTAACGGAGCGAGGATTCTGAAAATCCTGGAGACCAGCTCTTTCTGTAACCATGGCAGCCACAGCAGCAGCAGCCTGCGTTCCCAAGGAGCCAGACCAGCCTTGGGAGGGATGTCCTGCCTTGCGCTTGGCATGGGTTCCTGAGAGCCGGACTCCACAGGCCGCTCCAGTTCTGTCCGGGGGAGGGGGGGGGGCGCAGCTAGGGGGCCAGTTTTTGGGGAACATTTGTTTGGCTGGAAGGTTTTGAACAAGTAAGCAACACTGAAATAGCCTCTGGGAGACAGATTTTTCTAGAGCTACGTAGCCCAGAAGGGTTCTGGGACGTGGGAGTTGCTTTCCTTCAGACAGATCCCCAGTTGCCTGGAACGAGTTCCTGGGGACTTGTGCCCAGCGTGAGCTCTCCTGAGAGAAGGGGGGCTGGGGGTTCCCGGTTTTGAGTTCCTGGAGTTCCCCAGCCCATCACTGGCTCACTAAGAGCACCTTGGGAAACGTGAGGTGCTATGGCCCTGCTGAGCTAAACGACATGTACCTGTTAGGATGGACCATGTTATGCTGTGTAACAAACAGCCCCCAGTCTTCAGGGGCTCCCAGATGGCTATTTCATGCTTCAGCAAAGTGAGCTTCTGAGGAGGCTCTGCTTATCAGAGGCACTTAGGATTCCTGGCCAATGAAGGAGCTGCCGGCTTAGGACACAGTTACCCCAACCTGGGCCCGAGGGCTTGCCCGCCCCCCACCCCCCCTTCCACAGAAGCAGTTGTAACTCTGCAATGCTTCCACCGATGTGACTCACGTTCGATTGGCCCAGTTGTCACACAGCCACACAACCTCACCAAAGCAGGGAAGGCTGGTCCTCCCATATGCCCAGGGGAGAGCTGGGGATATTGCTACCCACCAGCGATGCCCCAAGCACGAGTGGCTCCAGGCAGCTGGCCTGCTAGATGAGGCCTGGACTCTCAGAGCTGGCCCAAGAGCCCAGCCAACGTGGCTCAGTGGTTGTGTGTGGACCTATGAACAGTTCAGTTCCCGATCACCGCACATGCTTTAGTTACATGTGAGTGTGAGTGTGTTTGTGTGAGTGTGTGAGTGTATGAGTGTGTGTGTGTGTGTGTGTGTGTGTGTGTGTGAGTGTGTGAGTGTGTATGTGAGTGTGTGTACTGGATCAGAAGATAAAAATATGTCTTTCACTGCAGGCCATCATCGTGATCATTTGAAAGCCAGCATCATAGATTAGTTTGATTCCTTTTTTCAAAGACTGTGAAGTTAAAAGTCAAGTGCAGCTCAGCCATTTGGCTCAGAGGTCCACTCAGTGTCAGCCATTGGACCAAAGGGTCCTGGGTTCCATTCTGGCCAAGGGCATACATCTCGGTTGCAGGGATCCCCAGCCCCAGGTTGGGGTGCCTTGGGGAGGCAACCAGTCGATGTGTCTCTCCCCCTCCCTTCCACTCACTTTAGAAATCAGCAGAAGCTTTGTGCAGCGGCAGCATCGTAGCCAATGAGGTTTATCCACGGGGCGGTTATTGCTAATTGAAAACACCATCCATAGGAAACTGTCCGCAGTGAGGGTTAGTGAACAAACTACAAAAAGGCTGAGCGCACAACTGCATCCCATTTGCTGACTCTCCTCCTCCAGCCAATTGATGTTCTTACATCGCCACCAAACAGCGTGTAAACATCCAGTTAGACCCGAAGCAGCAACATGGGGAACTGGGAAGAGTCTGGGCACTTAGAAGTCAGAATGGAAGTGTCCTTTGACCCCCCTGAAGAGGCAGGGGGAGTGGCCCGCAGAGCGTAATGGCTGTTTCATTTTAATAAGTTAATGACTAATCATGAGCACCCTTTGAACATCCCTCTCAGGAATATCTAGCATTTTAAACATATATATATATATATATATATATATATATATATATATATATATATATATATATATATATATTTTTTTTTTTTATCGATTTTCACAGAGAGGAAGAGAGAGGGAGAGAGAGTTAGAAACCTCGATGAGACAGAAACATCGATCAGCTGCTTCCTGCATGCCCCCCACTGGGGATGTGCCCGCAACCAAGGTACATGCCCTTGGCTGAAATCGAACCCGGGACCCTTGCGTCTGCAGGCCACTTAGCCACACTGGTTTTGGCGGGATAATAGTATTAAAGCACCAATGACATAAGGAAAAACCCCACCCAGGGTACCCGATCCCAGATTTGAATCCGGGTCTCTTAGCTCCAGACCCAGAGTGAACTTCCTGCAGCCTTTCACCTCTGGGAACTTTTCGGAGCCAGGACTTCAGTGTCAGAGGAGAGGATTGGGAATCTGTCCCACGCTGAGCAAGGCTCTTTGTGGACACAGACAGGCTCACTTTACGATTCACACAGAAGGCCGTGGGCCTGCAGTAGCTCAACTGATCTCTTGTCGGAGTGGCAAGGCGGTGGCGGCAGCCAGGGAAAGGAAAGCCCATTCTAGCATGAATCTTCGTGCACCGGGCTTCTAGTAAAGTTATAAAGCTCAGGGGGAATATAGGAAGTCTTTGGGACCTAGGGCTAGGCAAAGAGTTCTTGAACTTGACACCAATAGGACTATGCAGAAAAGGAAAAATGGGCAAATTCTGTTACCAGCCCCAAAATTCATGTGCATGACACTTCAAAAAGGCCAACATTCACAATGTCAGAGTTTGCAGTAAGAAAGGGTTTTGATTGAGAAGGCACCTAATCCAGAAGGGGGGCGGGGCTCAGAGGCTCCTCAAATCCATCTTAAAGGAGCACACACAAAAGCTTAGGCTTCTTTTAGCCGAGACCGGTTTGGCTCAATGGATAGAGCATCGGCTTGGGGACTGAAGGGTCCCGGGTTCGATTCC